CAGTTCTAGGTATGCGAGGATCCAGATGAAACTGTGAGCTTTCCAGTACTGTATGCGGTTCCACTGTACTCTTCCTCGGGTGGATATATCATGGGGCTACGCCCAGATTGGCTGCAGCCATGTTCCACCTGCCTGTCTCAACCAACCAAGGCTCTGACTCAATAACTAAGACCTTCTGAAGCAGGAATGGTGGGCAAGGAGTTCATATTCAGTTACTAACCCTTGCCCTTAACCTATCAGAATTCCAATTCAGTTTAAGGCTGCAAAAGTACTCAGGTAAAAACTGTGACATGGCCAGACAGTGCAGAGGTTCCTCCATCTTGTATTCTTGATGAGGCCATTTCAGGTTTTTTTTTGTTGTTATTGTTGTTGTTGTTATTGGTTTTAGTTTTTTCGAGACAGGATTTCTCTGTTTAGCCCTGGCTGTCCTGGAACTCACTCTGTAGACCAGGCTAACCTCGAACTCAGAAATCCGCCTGCCTCTGCCTCCCAAGTGCGGGGATTAATGGCGTGTGTCACCATCACCCAGCACCATTTCAGTTTTAATCAGGATTTTATCTCCTTAATGGAGAATCCCATGGAATATTATCCAACCCTATTCTAAGAACCTAAGGTCAAGATGCTCCTGCTGATTTATCTTAACTTCTGTTAAACTTCTTGCCTGTGCAAAACTCCCCTTCCAGCTAACTGCTTATCTTAGCTTCTATTAAACTGCTTGCTTGTGCAAAACTTTTCCTCTGTAGCTGCTGATTGAGATACCAGGATATGGATTTTGCCTTTAAAAAGACCCTTGGTCTAAATGCTCTGGGCTACACTTGGGTTTCTGAATACCTAGGTATAGTTCCGGTCAGCTGGAACAAAGACTTTCAATTGTCTATAAAATGTGTGGAGTAGGTTGACCAGATGCTGCTTGTATTGCAATGCTAATGTGGGCCCCCCAAACTGGTTGCCTCAGAGACTAGAGATGAGAGAGTCCACACATAAACGCTAGCTAAGTAGCCCTGCCCCCAGTTTATTGTTATTGGTAAATAAAGACGTCAGCATAGACATAGGTGGGATTTAGGTTTCCCAGGCTTGGGGTCAGAGAAGAATCATGTGGAGAGGAAGATGAATGGAGGAGGGAGAAGCCTCCATGGGTTAGGAGTCAAGAAGATGTAGCCCTGTGGACTGGCCAATTGCAGTTAAGAACAGCCCAGATGAAACATAGTAAGTAGTAATAACAATTCAAGATCATCAATAGGAAAGTAGATTCTAATAGCATAGAATGAGATACATGTCCAGCTATTGTGCTGCTTAAGGATTATTGTAAATATAAAGGTTTTATGTGTTCTTTCATCCAGAACTAAATGATAAAAGTGGAGTAGAAACCCTGGGCAGGGTTTAAATAAAATCTACAACAGTGTGTCTGAATGGTCATCTATGGTGGGCTCCCTATAGCAAAACCTTACCAACTCAGAAGCTCTGTAGCTAGAAGCAGCCTTATGATTGTATCTGACCAATGAGATATAATCAGAAATCTCTAGTTGAGGCTTCTTGGGAAGTATTTTTTGTTGTTGTTGGCTTTTAAAAAAGATGTTGAGACAAGTTCTACATAGTCCAGGCTGGCATTGAACTCACAGAGCTCTGCCTGCCTCTTCCTCCTGAGTGTTGGGATTGAGGACTTTCGACCCCAGGACCAGTTTAGAAAGCCTTCAAGAGGCAGTGTTTCCACCCCATCTGCTCTCAGTCTGTAGGTTGGTGCCTGGAGCTGTGGTAGCCACCCTGAGAGAATGAGGCTGTAGCCACAGGATATAAACAAAAGTGATTGCCATGAGGACAGTGGGCAGCCCAGAGTCAGAGCCCTCTGTCATTTCAGAGCCAGTTTGAACCCTTGCTTGGACTGACCACCCGGAACTTCTTGGTTTGTACAAGCATAGACCTTGGTAAAGTTAAGTTGCTGAGGTGTTTTTTTTTAAAAAAAAAAAAAACAAAAAACAAAAAACAAAAAAACCAGTAGACTGTAATACTCACACTCTGAACCTCTAAAACAACGTGTCTAGACTAGAAATGGGAAGAGGAGCTCAAGGTGAGCGTGGGTTCCAGTCTTTTGGGAGGGGTGGGTGGAGAAGCTTCTCTCTCGCCGCCTCTTTTGCATCATTAGACTTCTTTACAAGCTTCGGGGCTCCCAGTTTCCTAAAGGATCAAGTTCATGTTCCTGAGACCAGCATTCAAGAATATGAAACTGGGCTGGAGCCAGTTGTCTAGCCTGTTAGCCTTTACAGTACTCCTCTGAGCAAGAGCACTCCGTGTCTTCTACCTCCGTGGTGATCCTTGTGTGAGTCCTCCTCCTTCTCACTTACTTGTTCAGGTTTCCTAACCCTCCAGGGGCTGTTCTTACAAGAAACCTTCACTGGTTCCAACCAACTCCTCTTCATACCCAAGGTCTCGATGAAGTAAATTATCTTCAGTGTTCTTGTGTGTGAAAGCTGCTTCACCAGGCAGGATTGTGAGAACCTGGGAAGAGTGTGCTTCAAAATACGACTCCTCTGAACCCTAGAGTTCTCTGAAAGAAGGTTTTAATACACACTTTGCCTCCCTTGGCAAGCTGGATCCTTAAGCATTGAGCTGGATACTTGGCATCGGACGCACTTAAGAGCCGCTAATGTGTTGACTTGTTGCTAGGTTGGTTACCATTTAGCTGTGCCTCTTTCCTGTCCTTTGTGGCTGTGTCTTTCCGGATTTTCTGCTTCGCATCTCAACAAGGAGACTTGTCCTAAGTTGGAAGGTGATCATTTGGAGCTGGATCCTAAGATCCTCAACTTAGATTTGGGTCGTAACTCCTGGCATCAGTCTTTAGACACTAGATCTGAGCAAAGGGAAAGAGAGTTTGTGTCTATCACCCAGGGTGTGCTATGCTAACTCAGTGACTTCAGAGAGTTCATCTTCCTCTTAGGAAAACATTCAGGTCCAGCGTTGCCAGACAACAAGAGTGATGAGCTAGCCTTGACATTTTGTTTTTACCTGGTGCCCACCTCTGTCTTTGACAGGAGAATAGGTGGGCTGGAACAATTTGCTCTCTTAATCATCTTTGCCTCAGTCTCATGCCAGAAACCTGAATCAAATAAACAGTCTTGAGACTTGACCCTTAGCAAGCATTTCCATTGCTGAAAGTTTAATGAGAAATGCCAGTGTTACCGTTTGCAAGCTATAAGTGCCTATCACATACAGCTTTAAGTGGGGATGGATGCATTGAACTGGATAGAAGATGGGAGGTCACTGTGGACATAAACGGCAGGCTAATATGTCCTGACAGTGTGGTCCCAAGATGCTCTTCTCTATTTCACCGAGCGTCACAGAACTCAGCCAAGCCCCATGACAGAGGAGAGGAAGGTTGGCGTGGGCTCACCAAGAGCTTTACCCCCTTGTGTGACTCTCAGTGCCAGCACTGGCTGGTGTAGCTGCTTGGGCTGGCGGAAACAGAGCAGTTGACAGTCTGTACAGAGAGGTGCTGGAGGAAGGGTGGAGCCAGCAAGGCGGGCTTGCTGGAGAAGCTGAACTCCTTTTCTTTTTGTGTAAATCTTGCAAATTTCCCTTCTGGGTTGAGCCTCCTTTGTTTACTTGCTGGCTGGTGACTGTCCCTCTACTGGAAATTGTTTTTTATGATCTTTGTAAGTCTGTGTGTTTGTATCTACCCCTCTCTCCACCCTTTATCCCGTTCCCTAACCCTCTCCCACTCCCCCTCCATCCACCCTCCTCCCCTCCTCTGAGACTAGGCTCCTTTTGCATATCTATCCTTGGCTCCTTAGACAAACCACAGAGACCAACTGCTCTGCCTTCTGAGTGCGAGGATTAAAGGCTGGTGTCACCATTGCCTAGCTTATTCATAATAGTCTTGTGTGCTTGGCTAATATAATAGTCTGTGTGTGTGTGTGTGTGTGTGTGTGTGTGTGTGTGTGTGTGTGAGTTGTGCTGAGCTGTGCGTGTCTGATTTTTTTTTCTTCCACCCATTTTTTCCAGTAAAGTAGCAGTGACTTCCTCCAGGCTCAGTTACTTGAGGCCTCAGCCACATCGAGGACCCTCCACCTCTCTGTCGTGGGGGTGTGACTATATTTTCTGCTTGCCTTGCCAAGGGAAGCTCTGGCTGCCCTGACTTGTGGCCTGCAGAGCTCTGAGGAATGGCTCCTCATGCCTGGATAATCCAACCTCCCTTTCCACATCTCAGAGCTGTAACTGCAGTGGCAGGAATGAAGATATTCTAAACCTAGAGGCATTCGCCCTCCTGCCTTTGGCCATCAGACTCCTGAAACAACAGACCACAAGAAATTGGGATTTCCCTAAGAGTCTCATATTGAGAGAGGAGAGCTGAAGTCTGGGCCCAGCCCAGGAGAGCTTGTCTCCTGGAGAGAGAGAGTTTATACAATTTTCAGACCTTGCAGGAGAGACTAGCTGAGCCACTGATGACAGACAGGACTGCACTAAGACTGCTTTGTTGTGTGTTGCCTTGGCTCTCTATGGGACTCTACCCTTTGTGTTACGACCCCAGAGTTGTCCCTCTTTCTGGTGCAGCCGTGCTGAACACAGCCCCACTCTGCTTTTCACTATTGTCTAAGTGGCTTGGGAGGACAGGCGGCCGAACCCAGTTTGTTAAGGCTTCCAGGATGCAAGCTCTCAACTGGTAGCTTTAATAACAGTTTCTTTTGCCACATAAAGCAACATTTTCAAGATTCTGGGGATTGGGACAAAGTCATGTTTGTTGGGGGACTGGCTGATGTCAACCCTGCAATTTAAAAGAAAAGAAAAACGGTGTGAGTGTGAGATGTGCTGGGATCAAGCCAGCTTGTTCACAGATGTGACTCTGATTCTAGAAAGGTTTTCTAGACCCTCCTTGAATATCTACACTCCCCCAAGCCTGCTAAGTTCTGAAGTTCTCCTGTGGAGAGGAGGCATGGTTATACAGTCTCAGGGCACGGGCCTGGCTGTGGATCTCCATGCTCAGGTGTCTGCAGCTGGCACCTGTGCCATCAAGCCAGGTTGTGATGGGAGGGAGAATGTTGATGGCGCACAGATGGCATTGTCAGCGATGGAAGAAGCAACGGCACTTGGAAGTAGGACCACAAGGTTTTAATCAAACACAGCAAGATGGCCGCAAGGCAGAACAGGTAATGCTTGGAGAAGAGAAAGAAGACCATCTCCTTGGCAACGTAGATGATGTGGATGAAGATGAAACAGTAGAGGAACATGGCGAATTGGTTCTGGGGGAGCAAGAGGTCCTGGAGGCCTCCTGAGAACTGTAGGAAAGGAGAGAGCACAGCTGGCAACACCACATCTGGACTCAGTCCTGCCCTGACTCTGGAGATGACCTCTCAGAAGGCACTGTATGGTGAGATCTCCTTTCCAAGACCACAAGGAAGGAGAAAATAAAGGGAAATATTTCTAGTGAGACCACACTGGTGCACAGAGGGATCTCATTCATTTTCTCTTTGAGCTTGTATTCTCCCTGGTGACCCCAGGCACTAGGCCACTGCAGTCCTTTCTCTGCTTTCTCTTCCCCTGGGGGTTACCCATGTGAGCACGTTCTCAAGGATTCCAAGGTTCCCAGGACTCTGGGTCTTAGAAGCCTTTGGATAATGTTTCCTGATAGGCTGGTTTTCTAGACAGTGGCACTAGGAAAGAGCATGCCTTGAGCGTAAGTCTCAGACTCCCTTTGTCCTGGCATATGCCACAGGGTTAGTCCATAGCCCTCACCCCTGGGTGGAGGCTGTTTTCTGGGGCAGATGGTGAGAGTTATAGACTCCCTGACCTCGTAAGGCATTGGATTTTCAGACAGGCCTGCATGTGAGTTGCTCTTTTCTGAAGTCAATAGCTGAGCTCAGACTGACCCTATTTTAACTGTTATCAGTGTGTGAGGCAAAAGCTGATATAAACATTTTGGTCTGAACTAAAGAATTTGGCATGGTTTCTGCTCTACAATATTTTTTTTAGGATGTCATATTTTTAACAGCTAAATGTCAAGGACTGAGATGCCCCAAACTAGTGAGAAATACTAGTTTAGGTGTATTCAGTATAGTTAAATTTATTCATCCGTTCATTCATCCCCCCTTTGCCTCCCCTTTCCCTCCACCATTAAGAAAACAAGATGTATAGAAGGCTCAATAATCAAGCCAAATCCCCAGTTTCACCCCCTTTTTAGTAAATGAACTGTAAATAAAACATTTTTCGTAAACTATTCCCAACGGTGCAGGCCTTGAAGACATCGTTGCTGAAAAGGGATAAAAAAATGAGAAGGCAACTATATCAAGAAACAAAGCTAAAGGGAGGAAGTGATTCAAGCTATGTGGCCTCTAAGGTGACAACAAGGAAGACACCCAGTGAAAGACTGGAGGGAGAGACTCCTCTACATAGGGCGGCACGCTGTGGTCAGGGCTCTGTGTTGACTTCCGCTACACTCTCTGCAGCCTGCATGCTGTTAGCCTGAATGAGGAAGGGAGGCCATCATAGTGTGTGTGTACACACACACACACAAATATGTTTGTAGACTTTTTCAAAAACACTTCTCATAGTCTATCTTTAAAAAGGCAGAGGATTTAACGCTAAGGATTTTCCCCTCATCCAGCAAGGAGAACTATTTTTCAAATTAAAACGAGATGGTTGGGAGATGTGGACCTTACAATGCTGGGATCACTAATTTTCCCTGTCAACCTGACAGGACCTAGAGTCACTTAGGGGACAATCCTCTAGGCGTGCCTATGAGGTTACATAGGTTAGGTTACCTGAGATGGACAGACACCCCTAACTATGGGTGGGAGCCGTGGGTGTGGAGTTCTGGACTGAACTATCTGAGCACTTGTGGCTGAAGCAGTGTGACCCACTACCTGCAGCTCCTGCCACTGTTCCCTGAAGCTGTGAGCCAAACAGACTCTTCCTTAGGCCATGTTTGTCAGGGACTCTGTTGCAGCAACCAAACTAATACAAACACCATACCTGACTTAAACAGCTTATGGCTCAAATTCTGTAGCAGATTTTAATCCTCAGATGCTGAGAAAAACCTAGGAACTTACAAGAATTGAAAAATAACAGAGAATGTGGGAGTGTTCTAGAGAAAGTCAAATATCTTCTAGATATTAGAAGAGGGAAAATGTATTTCAGATGTCCCAATCCAATAAGCTTTGCTTGGCTCAGTAATATTCCTTAATGCATAGTAAGCAGGTATCTGTGCTTTTCTTATGAAAGAGTAATTTTTCTTATGAAAAAGATAATTAGTAAGCCAGCATTTGTTCACTGAGGACAAGTCCTGTCAAACAAACCTATCTTCTCTTTGAAGAATTGACCAGCCAATGAGACAAATGACTCGGGTAAGCAATGCCTTATTCTGGGAAGCTTCCTGACACAGGACAGGTTTCTTGGGTGAGCGGCAGAACTTTGAGCAGGAGACACTGTATCAGCATGGCTGATGAGTGGCGCCTTTGATGACCTGCAGTGAGGTCTTGCAGTGGGATTTACTTCACATCCTTCTCAACAGTTACAGCCATAGCTTAGATCATGACACGCTTCTCAGAATCGAGGATGAGTCAGCTGTGAAGTGGAGCTAATTCATCACATTCCGAGAAGTGATGATGGAAGTTACTGCGTTCGGGTCGACAGTGAATGGTATGAGTTCATAAAAATGGTAATAGCTAACAATTACTGAGCACTTGCCTGCTGTGCTGGTCCACTGCAAAGCAGAGTCCACGCATTCTCTCACGTACTCTTTACGATGACCCATGAGATGGGGTCTACTTTAGTGACGAGCAAACCAAAGCTCAAGGGGGATTAGCAATGTGTGCAAGGTTAACTGGTTTAAAAACAAAAACATACAGCTTGAGTTTTTACCTAGAACCTGACTTCAGAGACCAGGAGGCACTTCTCTTAAGTGGTGACATCTTTCATCACAGTGTGTTTAGAATGGTCTGACCAATGTAAATAAATAAAATATCAAAAAAAAAAAAGAGAATGGTCTAACCAGAGTATTAAGTACGTCAGGTGGCATTCCATCTCAATTTTTCTTTTGAAACAAAGTCCCTCTCACATAGCCCAGGTTAGCCTCAAACTTACTATGACACCTTGAACTGATCATTCTGCCTCCATGCATGGTTTAGTTGGTGCTGGAGACCCAACCCAGGGCTTCATACGTGCTGGCCAAGTACTCTGCCAACTGAGCTGGATTCCACCCCTCAGACGAACTCTCTTGTCCTCACTTAGCAAAGTACGGGTTGAGTATATATTTCTTGTGAAAAGAACGTTGCTTTGGTTGGTTATAAGGCAGTGTGTTCAATAGAGAAAACTCAGTCCTGAAAGGAAGGTAACAGTTCTGTTGTCATTGTCAGTCAGGTGACAGGGACTGCTAGCACATCTTATGAGAAATAGAAGTACTGGAAAGAGGCTGGAGTGATGGCTCAAAGGTTAAGAGCATCTGGCTGATCTTCCCCAGGTCAGTTCAACTCCCAGCAACCACATGGTGGCTCATAACCCGCTACCGGCTACAATGAGATCTGATGCCCTCTTCTGGCATGTGGGCATACATGCAGGCAGAACACTGTATACATAATAAATACATCTTAAAATAAGAAAAAAGGTGGTGGAAAACCTGACGTGGTATGAGTATTGAACACGAAGAGACCATCAAAAGGGATTCTGGGTAGAAGATGTGGTTTCAGGATATCCCCTACTCTCAATTCTCTTTTTGCAGGATGGTCTCAGGCCATCCTGCAAACCGACCTAAGCACCAGCAGGTAGAGGCAGCTACATGATGCTCACCACCTCTCAGCCAGACCTGGGACCAGCAGACCAGGTGCATAGCCATGCCAGTACAGCCGCAGCCCAGAGCCCCACTCCGCTACCTGGCGAGGCAAAGCCTGCTGCTGCTGCTGCAGCTGCTCCATCACTTCCTCGTGCTGCCGCTGCCGCTCGTTCTCCTGGTGCAGGTACTTGAGGCGTGTCAGTTCAAACTCCATGCGCACCTTCTCCAGCTCCATCGCGTTGTGGTGTTCTGTCTCCAGGGGCAGGGGCAGCTCCGTGGGTTCTAGTCCAGGTCCATCGCCAGCCTGACCCTTGGTGGTGGGGGCAGACTTCGGAGACAGTGACTTAGGGGGCCCTGGGCAATCTCTGTCCTCACAGATTACATTCTCTTCCAGGGTAGGCAGTTCTAGTTTGGGGGGTTCTGTGTCCTGGGATAGGGAAGAAGGAGTGGGTAATGGTGGGGGGTCAGTATTAGACTCCCTACAGCTGCACCCTCGGCTCTGAGCTTCAGGAGCCTGGGGTGCATTGCAAAGACTACCTAGATGAGGTGTTTTCTGGAAGTGCACACAGAGACTCTAGAACAGGAGAAGACAAACTGCCACGAAAGGCAGGTGCCTTAAGGTCGTGAGGCACGGGTAGGTGAGGTAGTTGTTTGCTCAGGTAATGGCTCTTTATCATGGTGGAGGTCAGTTTCCCGTTCCCCACGTTTCACCTAACTGTCAGACAGGTCTTTCAGGGGTTCCAGAGTGAGGAAGAAGCCCTGGATCTGTGTTGAAAGAACCAAGCAACACATGTATGTGTGTATGTCCTATCCACAGAGGGAAGAAAGGGCCTCAAATAGAGAGACAAACTTTTATGCAACCTTACAAGTCTATAAAGAATTGCTGGTTCCTGGTGGCAGCTGGGGACCAGTTATGGGGATGGGACACTGTTCTTGGCAACTGAATTGCCTAGCACATGCCCATAGGCTCTAAGGCTTAGAGCCCCCCACCCCCGCCTTCCGAATAAGATAGCTAGGGCAAATCACGAGAGGGATCCTCTTACCAAAGAAGCCTTTGGCTTCCCCTCGGGCATGCTGTCAGCAGGTGCCACCTTGGAGAGGGTGGGGCAGCTTTCTCCTGCCCCTCGGGCTTCCATCACCTCCCTGTCCTCTGCTGCCATCCAGATAGCCACACTGCTGCCAACCAGGGCCACAGGACATCTTTTGAGACAATACCATTTGGCTTCACCAGGTTCTGACCACCATCATAATCCCCTACCCTCATAATAGCCACATTCCAGTTGCCAGGGCACTTTTGGTAGAGGCTGTGACACCTTTGAGGAGTCTTAGTGAGGACAGAGGGTGGAGGACAGTAACATAGTTTAGGCAGTACGGTTGCCTGCTGGCAAGTCTGATAACCCAAATTTAATCCCTGAGACCTATACGGTAGAAAAAGAGAACCGATTCCTCCTCTCCCCCAACATGTGTGCTGTGGTGTATGTGTTACACCACGTACACCCTAATAAATATATATAATAAAAATTAAAAAAAAAAAACCTCAGTGGAGGTTGTGGCTTTCTTACCCATAGGGCTAGTGTGAAAACTGGAATGCCTCCTCACAGTGCAGGAAGCCAGCAGGATGAATCCCTTCCCTTGGGTTCTCCTTTAAAAAGAGTTTATGTTGGTGGTAGTTTGTCTAAGATGGAGTCCAAACCCCAGTGCCTCAGAATGTAACTTTATTTGGAGGTGGGATCTTCATGGAAATTACTGACTTGAAATAATGTCACTACAGCAGTCCGAATCCAATGTGACTAACCTCTTTAGCGGAGGACAGCGATGAAACCAGAGGGAAGACGGTGCAGACACAGAGCGAGACAGAAACATTGGGCTGGTTCCCTGGAGAAACAGACCAGCAGGTGGCATCGGAAAGAAACACGAGGACCAGCTCAAGAGATTATAGAGGTGGAAAAACCTCACATTCTCCTGTCTGCACGTTGAAAACCCAGGAGCTGGTGCTGTAACTACTGGGCAGTCCTGGAACAGTGATGTCAGCCCTCGTCCCAGGGCTGAGACCCGGGAGTCCACTACTGTAGCAAGCGGCATTCCCTTCTGTCTTGGCTTATTGAGGACCTCGGTGGCATGAGGCCCACTCACGCTGGACAGTCAGTCTGCTTTTCTTACTCCATTTCCTTCAAGGTTAATGTCTTCTAAGAACACCCTCAGAAAACACACCTATAAATGACGCTCAGCCAGCTGATGAGGTATCCTAGGGTTGGCCCAGTCACGCTGAGTGCACAGTGAACGACCCCAGGCTGGATCAGAGCCTCTGTCTTTGTGTTTTAAACAACTGAGCCTGTGGTGCTTTGATCCTAGTGTCTAGCCTTCAGGACACTGAATATAAACATCAGTTGGTTGACCCACTCAATCCATGAAACCCTGTCACCAGGGTGGGAGTCTGCCCTGCCCCACCCATCCCAGAGGAGGAGAGGGAGATGCTGGGAGGCTGGAAACATACTTTGTCATCTTTGGCTTTATAAAGACTTTAGCCAAACACTCTCAATAAATGGAGTCGGGGTCACACTGTGGAAGGAGAAATGCCGTGTGTGAATCCTGGCTTGGTCACTGTCAGTTGTGTGACCAAAGCAGTTGTTCTATGAATCTGATGCTTAGTGCTCACAGTCATGGATGAGAAAAGTACTAACAGCAAAAGGAAACGGTGTATCCCTACGGGACTAAGCAAATGATTGCCACAATGATTACTGTAATGATGGTGGTGGTGGTGATGGTGGTAGTGATGATGGTGGTGATGGTGGTGGTGGTGGTGATGATGATGATGATGCTTTGCTAAGGAGTGAAATAGAACTGAGATTTACTTTTTTGAAGCTGGAGAGGTTGCCCTCTTGTTAAGAGTGCTTAACCATTTGCTGCTTATGCAGAGGACCTGAACTTAGTTCCTAGCACTCTTGTCAGGCAGCTCATACCTGCCTGAAACTCCAATTCCAGAGAATCTGATGCCCTCTTCTGGCCTCAGTGGACACCAGCAAACCCACAGACACATGGTGCATACATTAAAGTCTGTAAATAATTTCCTTTTTGTGTATGCATATGTGTGAAGTATGATGTATGTGTTTATATCTCGATTGCTGCCCCTGCCCCTCCCCTTCTCCTATGGGAGGGTGGAGGTCCCTTTGGGCATACCCCTACCATGGCACACCAAGTCTTTGCAGAGCTAGGTGCATCCTCTCCCACTGAGACCAGACAAGGCAGGCCAGTTAGGGGAATGTATTCCACAGACAGGCAACAGCTTTAGGAATAGCCCCCATTCCAGTTGTTGAGGAACCCACATGAAGACTGAGCTGCACATCTGCTACATCTGTGTGTGTGCTGGTGGCTAGGTCCAGCCTCTGCATGTCTCTGAGTGACCCCAGATACCCTGTATTACTTGTTAACTCTTGAAGTCTTAAGTAGGAGAGCCCTGCCCAAAGAAACAATCGCATGGCCAAATAATCTTTCTAAACCACCACATAGAAACATACAGAAGTGCTGATGGCTCTTATCAGGCACATATCAAATATCTATAAATCTCTGTGCTCAGCTATTGAGACATCTGAGGCTACCTGACTCTTCGGAGGACGTAACTAAGCTTCATATCATGTGTGTTCATATCATGTGTGTCTCCATCCTTCTTGAGATCTGTGGGCTAGCCTGGGAAAATTCTTTGTGGCAATGAAAGGAACACAAGGGGCTTTTAGAATGTGTACCCCATGACTTTTGTCTTACACTATTGGCTAAAGCCAGGTTCAAGAGTGGGGAACTACATTGTTAGTTGGCAGAACTTCAAAGAAGGGATGGAAGGCAGGAACACAGGGCGTGAATCTGGGGGCAGGCAACTATAGCAAAGGAACGAGGGTGTAATTGGAAGAGCTGGATTTGGCTTCGTGGAAGGTGTGATGTCAGGTGTGTGGGATTTGAATAAGAGCAAGGGATGAGTCTGGGGAAACGCCCACTGGATAATCATCCATTTTCCCTCCCTGCCCATCTGTTCTTGTTCGAGAAGATTGCCCTCTGTGGAGTTGCTTTAATTCATTAAGCAAAAGAGAACCTGAGAGCTTCATTCCCCCCTCTCAGGACACATTTGCCACCGACTGCCCTTTATGGGCTGCCCTGAAGTTGGAGAAATGGGTCTCATAAGCTGTGGATATTTTTGAGAGTCACAGCACCATAGGAGTCAGTCTTGTCTCTTCCTCTGAGCTCAGAAGAAGGATGGGGGTGGGGTGGGGGTGGGGGGTGGGGAGTAGGCTCTCAGTAAAGAGTCAACATCACATAGGGGCCCAGCAGCAAGGACTTGGGATGGCCTGGTTTCACTGGGGTAGCTCTGGATTCAAGGCAGTTCTGGGACACAGGCCCCTAGGGCTGGCTTTCTTCATGCCAAGACCCTTGCTGTGATTTACCGTTGCTATGATCTGGATGATTTGGGGGTCTCTCCTGTGTAGTCTTCTCACCCCAATATTGCTTCATATTTATTGTTTGAGACAGGGTTTCTCTGTGTAACCCTGGCTGTCATAGAACTCACTCTGTAGACCAGGCTGGTCTCAGAGATCCGCCTGCCTCTGCCTCTCAAGTGCTGCAATTAAAGGTGTGAGCCAATATGGCTTGGCCATTCTCTCTCTCTCTCTCTCTCTCTCTCTCTCTCTCTCTCTCTCTCTCT